AGACAGCGTGACAAAAAAAAAAAAAAAAAAAAAAAAAAAAAAGGGGGGGAGAGAGAGAGGGAGAGAGGCAGAGAGAGGGGCAGAGAGAGAGGGAGAGAAAGAAAGAAAGAAAGAAAGAAATTGCCCCTTTGATTTATTGCCGAAACCTGTAAGGCTCGAATGTGCAAAACTGATAGTTTTACTAACCTATAAAAACGTCTAGACGCCTACCCCAGCGCAAGCAGCAACAAGCACCCATAAAAGACTCCACATAACCACCTACCATCAAGACATCATTTGTACAGTAAACAGACTGGGGCATTAAGGCTTTTATGATAATTCCTCCAAAGTTGTGAAAACAGGCCATCCTTCCAAAATATTTTCCAAAAAGTGCATTGGTGCTTTCTACTTTTCTGTCAAAATTTCCCTATATACCTCCCTTCTTCCAGATAACCCTGCAGCAAACTGGATCCACGCTCGTTCAACGAGGAAAAAGCGTTGTCCCTACACAAAGTATCAAATTCTGGAACTGGAAAAGGAATTTCTCTTTAACATGTACCTCACCCGAGACCGCCGTTACGAAGTAGCTAGGATTTTAAATCTCACAGAGAGACAGGTCAAAATCTGGTTTCAGAACAGAAGAATGAAAATGAAAAAGATGAACAAGGAGAAAGGCAATAAAGGAGACTAACGCTGGGGTAGAAACGCAGTTGGGGAATATCGCTTTAGTTTTGAGTTTGGGGCTTTTGGGATTTGTTTTGGGTTTGGGTTTTTGGTTGTTGGTTTTTTTTTTTTTTTTGCTGGTTTGGTTTTATTCTTCCCCTGCCCCTCAGCCCCCCATACGTTTCTCCTCCTCCTCCCGCGCCCCCCACCCCAGGAACTTTAAATCAATCTGGTCCCTTTTTTTTTTTTTTTTTTTTTGAAGATAGAAGTGAAACGTGGTCTATGTCAGGTATTTTGGGAAATTTTGTCTTGCTCGCCAACGTGTTTTGCAGAGTCGCTTCATCCTCCCCCTCCTCCTTCCCAGACCGTTTGGTTGATGATATTGTGAGTGCACGTTAGCTTTGGGAACTCTATCTGATGTTAAATGTTTGACATGTTTCTTAAAAGTGATGTAGTCTAGCTAGTTACTTTGCCAAAATAAAGGTAAGGAAATTAATTATAATTACGATAATAAAATATATATTAAATTACACTCGCTTAAATCAAAGCGGGTGCTGTGTTGTCCACGATTAACTAAGAGGAAACCTTACCCAAAACCTCTGCTTTCTAGGTCTGAATCTCGCTCCTTCGCAATAGATGCCACAGCGAGGCCACGAGCTATTCCCCCCCTTTAGTGCACTTTTAGGAGGTTGTTTCATCCTTGAAGCCGTTCGCAATAGGCCTAACGTCTCCCGGTCCCCCGGCTAGCTGGCGTCCCTGCCCCCGGTGACTGTTGTATTAATTAACCACCCCGTGTCTCGATCTTTACGGACCTGTTGTAATTGTTGTCAGTTATTACACAATAAAGTCTGCCGTGACCGAACGACAGCCCTTGCGGTGAGAGGAGAAATCTGTGCGCCCCTCGCGATGCCCTCCGCGCCGCCGACTCCACC